GAAGTAATCATCGAAATTCATCTAGTTGACGCTCTTCCTCCTCACTGAGTGCCGTTAGTTCCTCCACTCGTGCGTTCTTCTCGCTCAGCTGAATCTGCATGTTACGAATCTCCGTATCTTTGGTAAACGTAAGGTCGGCAAGTTGCCTGTCCCGATCCGAGAGCTCGTCCTCGAGCTTCGACAGTCGACCGGCGCTTGCCTCCAAAAGGCCATCACGGACCACACTCATTTCCTCCATTTGCAGCTTCAGATTTTCGAGATCGCGATCGCGTAGGCCAAGAGCCACCATTAAGGTCGATTTCTCGCTCGCCAACTGAACTTTTAGCTCGTCGATTTCCACCTCCTTTTCCTGAAAATAAGCATTAAACTTTAATCCGTATTGGGGTCCGAAAAAATATTCAACATACAATATATCTTGCTTTAACTGTGCTCCCCCATCCCCGTCCCCATTAAAATTGACATTAATTTATAAAAGTACAAATATTCGTATAACTACAATTCATCTATTATTTTAAAGCCAACGTTCGAATTCCATTAAATTTCATTATCTAAATGTATGTGGTTTCAATTATTATAGAAATTTTCTTTCAAAATAATCTACATGAGCATCTACATAAGATACAATTGATTATGGGCAAAATTCGCAACCTTGAGAATGTCCTCAATGGCCTTCTGTGCCTCTCGCCTAGTCTGCTCCTTCTCGGCCGTAAGTCTATCGATAATTGCCCTGTCCTCGGCGGCAATGCCCTCGAGTGCCCTTAGCCCAGCGACTTCGCTCTGCAGCTCAGCAACCGTGAACTTGAGACTCTCAAGCTGCTCCTGTTTTTCACGCAGCTCGGTCCTGAGATCATCCGCATCTCTGACCCCCCGCTCCAAGGCCAACATCAACTGTAACTCCTTGTCACTCGTCGTCTGACGTAGCTCGACCAATTCCCGACTCCGCGACTCCAGCTCATCCTGAAGTTTCATCAACGTGTCCTCCTCGTTTAACGATCTCTTGCGCGGCTGTGGATCCGGCTTTTCCTGCTCCTCCACTCGAGACTGATGATAAATATTTGGATATTTTAAGCCGAAGGCATTACATTCTTAACGATAGAATTTTCATAAAGTAATTATGCGTAACAAGATTCTATTAGCTCAAAATGGATCCCAAATAATATATATACAACAATGATTTTACAATTAAATTCTTGATTAATTTTCTACAATTAAATTCAATTACTCTACGTTAATTTTTATGGACTCTTCAATAATCAATATTAAATAATGTTAGAAGTCGGTTGAAATTTCATTAAAAGAAGTAAAAGAAAATAAAAAGTACCTACAGAAATGAAAAATTAATAGCAACTGTACCTTGAGAATTTGTATCTCTTGGCTTTTCTCAACCAACTGCTGCTCCAATGTAGACTTGTCGTTGTGGAGGACATTAATGCTGTCCTGCATGCCCTGGACAACGCGCGTTATAGAGTTCTGACTGATCCAGTCCTGCAGTCGTTCGACGTCATCGTTCTTTGCGGCCAACTCGGCCCTTAGCCTTTGCAATTCGTTGTCATCGGTATCCCCGGGAAATGAGAATAGCGGCATATCGGTCTCGCGCACGACGGAAGCTTTCGCCTCGGTCCTCTGCTTCAGCAGTGTTTCTTCCAGTTTTGCCCTCGTCTCTTCCATTTCGCGCAGACTGGTGTCTCTCTCGGCAACAATGGCATCGAGCTCCTTCACCCGCTGCTCAGCCTCTTCCACTTTACGCTCAAACTCCTGCTCGACGTTCTCGCGATACAGGGATAACGCCCGGAGCTGGGAATCGAGTTCCGCGATCGATCGCTCTTTATCAACCAAGATCATTTTGTAATCACTGAGCTCGTTCCGCTCACTGCGAATCTCCTCGTCGCGCTCACGCAGCTTCGCCTCTTTATCTTCGAGCTCCGAGTGCATTGACGCGAGTCGCTGTTCTTGATCAATTAACGCAGCCTCCTGGTTGTTGGTCCTTCCACGCAGAGCGCGTATCTCTTCGGCTCGCTCGTGCAATTCCGTCAGGTAGCCCTCGATCGACAATTCCATACCTTGGATCTTATCCTTAACGATCCGCAGTTCGGCCTCGGTCTCCACGACCGAAGAACGATTCTCCAGCTCCTCTGTGAGCTTTGCTATCTCTTGCTCGCGTATCTCCAGAAGGCTCGATAACTCCTTTAAGTCCGCTATCTTGGACTCGAGTTGCGCCCTCGTGTCTGCCGAGTCGTGGAGATCGGTGGCAAGCCTCTCGTTATCCCTGCTCTTCTCCTCGAGCTCCTGCTTCAATAGATCGTAATTTTCGCGCATGCTCTGCACCTGGTCGTTCGCGTCCATCAGACTCTGCTCGTACTGCTTCCTGAGGCTGTCGTAATCGCTCATGAGCTTATGGTTGCTCGCTGTCAAATCCTCGTTTTTAGTTTGCAGGTCGTCAATGTTCGCCTGACGTTTCGTGCGGTGCTCCTCGAGCAGCTGCTGCAATTGCTCGTTCTCCGTTGCAAGTGCGTCCACGTTGGCTCTCGTCTCTTTGAGCTCTTCCTCGTATTTGGATATTGTGGCGGCGTCGTTGTTACTGCTCTCAACGGTAGACGATGAAACCTCCCTCATCTCAGGGACTGCATCGGCATGCTGGAACTTGGCCTCTAGTTCCTTATAACGTTTTTGCCAAATGTGCAGCTCCGTGTCTTGTTTGTCTTTGATCTCGGTAAACCGCTCTGTCGCCACGGTCAGTGCATCGATTTTCTTTAATATATTCTCTTTATCCGCGATCGCCTTCTTACTCTCCTCGCGCGCTTCCGTCAGCGCCCTCTCCAGATTCTCGATTTGCGCCTTTAACTCATCCTCTATTGCGGAATCAAGATCCACGCCGAATCTACCCACGGACCTTTGTGACTTTATCTGCTGCTGAAGACTCTCGAGCTGTAGCCTGTATTCCTTTAGTTTCTTCACACACTTGGCATTCTTCAGCTGCGTATTCTTATTCTCATCCATAAGTCTCTTTTTTTCTTCGCTCAACTCCTTTAGTTTCTCCTCTAGCTCATCGACTCGCACCTGCAATTGAATAGTCTCGCTGGGAACGACGGGTATATCCATGTGCTGCTCGCTCGTGATCGCTTTATCATTAAAACCCCAAGGATCGTCCTCGTCCTCCCACATTGACTCCGGTGGGACCTCTCGCTCGATGGAGGGCACGGTTTCAGCCGTGCTACGAAGGTCTTCGAGCTCCTTGACGAGTTGACTCCTCGCCCGTGAGGAAGTCTCGAGCTGCTCCCGAAGGCCTTTGATGTCAGCCGCGCTGTTCTCTCGCTGCTCCTCGTAGGCACGCGTCACGTCGTTCATCTGCAATTGCAGAAGATCTCTCTCGCTGATGATGCGCTTAACTAGATTCTGAAGCTCGTCGATCCTCGCACTCTCATCAGTGCTGAGTTTCGCTTCGGCCGCGATCAGTCGACTTCTATAAACTTCTTGCGTGGCCAAAAGCTCCTCATTTTCCAACACGAGATTATCCAACTCCGGCAACAGTTGTTCCAACTTTGCCTTATAATCCTGTTGGTCATTCAGAGGCGATTCACTCGTCGGCTCAGTACCGACGGTAGTCGCCGAGGTCAAGGTTACATCCAGCTCGCTCCGACTCGAACGCAACTTCACCAATTCTTCCTGTAAAAGTGACATGGCAGCATTCTTTTCGCTTTCCAACTGCTCATTGGATAGCCCAACCTGTTTCTCCGACTCGCCGAGCTGCAACTTCGACGGCTTATCGTCTTTACCGTCGACCTGAGCCGACGACGAGCCGAATATCGAGGCGTCGAACAACGGTAAAGACGCCTCTCTCGTCCGTCGTTCCGTAGTCTCGTTCATCGATTGCTCTTGTTGTAAGTCCTCCGAGTCGTTCGAGGCAATTGCAATCATCTCGGAACTCCAGCCGTCTTCGAGCATCGGCTCGTCTCCCCAACCTCTGGGCTGCACAAGTCCTTGGGCCAATCCTATCGATCCCTCCTCACATTGCTCCTTCGTTCGCTCCACCAGCTCCGCCTCGATCTCATCCACGCGCGACTGCAGCGATACATTGAAATCTTGAAGCTGAGCCACGCGCGAAAGTAGATCTTCGTTATGCCTAAGAGCCGCCTCATATTTGGCATTAACCTCCTCGCCCTGAATCGCGAGGATGTTAAAGCGGCGCGCAAGCTCCTCGTATGATTCTTGGACCGAGTTGTCGTGACTCGCCGCCGTTCTCGCTGGAGTGCTCAATTGGAGATGCTCTTGCATCTGCATGAGATCGCTGATGGAATTGTGAAGCTCGTTATTCAAATTTTCTATTTCAGCATCGCGCTCCTGGAGCATGTCCTCGAGAGCCTGGAGACGAGACGTGCAGTGGCCGCACGTGGGGTCGACCGTTGCTTCGCTTCTTCGCGTTTCCTCCATCAGTCGTTCCTTCTCTAATTGCTCCAAGCGTGCACGGCGCTCCTCCGACTCCTTCTCCACGTTCTCAAGGCGCTCGTCGACCTGCGCCTGCTTCGACAGCAACATTCCATTCTCAGCCCTTAGCGAATTTATTTGGCTGAGTTGCTCGAGATACTCGGCCTCCATCACCTCCATACGTACGCCCAACTCACGCGCCTCGTCCTTCGCCTCGGTCAATGTATTGATCGTACTCCTGGCCTCGTTTAACTCTGCCTCGATCACCTTGACCTCGCGCAAAGCCTCGCTCCTCGAGGCTAGATGCTGTTTCCTCTCCTCCTGGAGTCTTTTGATTATTTTATCCTTCTCTTTGGCCTCTTTCAACAACGCCCTCGACAGCTCAACCTTGTGCATGGCCTCATCTTTAGCGAATTGCAAGCGGTTCAAGTCATCGTTCAATTCAACAATTATCTTATCTTTATCCTTAGCCTTTTCAAGCTCCATCCTGAGCTTCTCAATTTCCTCGCAAAACTCTTGGCCGCTTTGATATCGATACAGCATGTCATTCAAATTGGAAATCTGTTCATCCCTTCGCTTAATTTCCTCCAAGTTCAATTCGATCTTCTGTAGCGCTTCGTTCTTGTCCGCCTCTACATACTGTAATTCCTCTTGCGTACGTTGCAAGTCTCCTTGTATGTGTATAATCTTACTTATTGATTCGTTAGCCCGACCGAGTTCCAATTTAAGCGCCTCGACTTCCTGCACAACTTTATCTCTTTCGCTATTGGCGTGTTGCAACTCCTCCTCCACATTTGTAATCTTGTTTCCCAACTGCTCACTGACGCGATCAAGTTCTGACTCGGCCCATTTTTTTTCCTTATCCATGGTTAGCATTTCATCCTCCATTTCTGAAATACGATCGATATGTCCCTTGGCATTCGTCAGTTCCGAACTGGTCATTTGCAGTTGCATTAAAATATCTTCTATTTTATTATTCGCAAACTCCAACTGGCTTTCCAGATATGGCATTCTGCTTAGTTTTTGCTTGGTCTCGTTCAACTCCTCCATGACTTTTTCCTTTTCTAACAAAGCTGCATCCCTGTCTGTCTTCAGCTCTTCAACTGAAATATTATGCAACGTTATACTATTCAACTCTATACCAATCTCTTGAAGATTCTGCAAAGCTTTATCTTTCTCACTATTCGCCAATTTCAATTCCCGCTCCAAAGTTTCAATCGTGCTTTGCTTCTCTTCCAAACAACTCCTCTCTGTCGCTTCAAGTTTCTCCAAATCCAATTTTCTGCTCAACTCCAAACGATCTATCATCTCATTCAACCTCGTAATTTCCTGATCTTTGTTCTGCAATTTCAATTCAACATTGTCATCTTGCATTAGCCTCTGATTTCTTTCCAAAAGCTTGTCTCTAGCACTTCTAGCCTCTTCCAACTCCATATTCAATTCTAAAATCTTCTCATTTTCCTCTTTAATGCTCAATTGACACTGCTGCAGCTCCGTCTCTCGCTTCTCCTTCTCGCTCTTCTCATAGCTCCACTTAGCCTCGAGTTCTTTGCACTCGGCTGCACAATAGTTCTTAAGATTTTTTAGTTCACTTTCGAGGCTCGCATTATCCTTTTCGCGCAACTGCAGCTCCTCCATCACATCTTCGAGGCGTCTATTGAGCATGTCCATGTCCTCGGTATGCTTTTGTTTCAATAGCTCTAGAGATTTATAAGCTTGGTGTAACTCTAGGCTCACTTGATCCGCGTGTCGACGGACCGCGTCGAGTTGCATCAGGACGTCCACGAGCTCATTAACATCTTCTGTACTATTCGTGAGGACTGTGACCTTCAGCTTCTCCTTCTCAAGGCGCTCACGTAGCTGCTTATTGTCTGGTTCGAGTTTCTCGATAAGCGCTTGCTGATCGGCGAGTTTATTCTTCAGCTCTTTCATCTCCTCCTCGCACATTATTAATTTGTTGTCGATATTGTTGTTATTATTGTTGTTGTTGTTGTTGTTGTTGTTGTTATTGTTGTTGTTGTTTTGACTCAGTGATCTCAATGCGGGCATATCGATGTCCTTACTATGATCATCCGACCATTCAAAGTCGGAGGGCCATTTTTCTTGCAGGCCGCGAGCAAGTGTCTCCTCTTGGTCCCTTATCATATTGGTAAGTAGCTCATTGCCATATTCGATCTCCCTCTTGTCGAACCTCTCTTTCGCCTGCTCGACAATAACCGCTTGCTTATTTATGAGATCCCCGTAGAGTTTAATTTTGCGCTTTAACTCGCTAATGGTTTCCGCATGCTCATCCACAGTTGCGCTCGTTTCTTCGACACGTTTTACCGTCATTGGCACTTCCTCGATCAGCTGTTGTAGATCATCAGACTTCCAGACGTCAGAAGCCAAACTGTCGGCAAAAGCAGCCACTTCCGAGGGGTTAATTGGAATCGTTTCCGACTCCATCAATGCGGCGGCTTCCTTAAGTTCCTTGGGTTCCTCTGGCAATGAATCGGAGATGATTTTTTGTTCGAATGAAAGTCCAACGGTGTTAGTGTGTCGTGTACTAGTAACGACAGATGCGGCAGAGGTGGCGGCGGCAGCGGCGGCGGCGGCTGCGATGGTAGTAGTAGCAAGCATCTCTTCAAGTTTCGTCACCTTCTCAACGAGTTCATAATTTTCACGCACGAGAGTTTCGAGCTTTCTCGCCTCATCGCCGGCCTCGGGAATCCGCTCGAATGACTCAGTCGAACCTGTATCCGACGAGCCTTTCTCTTCATAGCGCGTGAGCTTCTCGAGAAGGATGCCATTCTCGCGTGTCAGCCCGTCGATGCGTTTAAGAAGCTCGATCTTGTCGGTGTCCGTGGACAATGCTTCGAACGATTCCGTCGAATCTACGTTGGAGCCCGTCTTGACGAAGGAGTCTGTTGAGCCGACCTCCGAGGAGCTCTTAATTTCTTCGAGTTTGCTAATTTTTTGCGTAAGCCGCTCGTTGTCCTGGACTAAGGCGTTGATCTGCCGCTGAAGTTCCGCGCGTTCCGTATCGTCGAGGGCTACTGCCGACGCGCACCCCTGTGACGACTCGAGCTTCTCCTCGAGATCGACCACTTTCATTTCCGCAGTTACCCGCAAATTCTCCGATTCAGCGTTCTCGACCTCGAGACTCGAAACTTCTTGTTTCACAGCGTGTAGCTCTGAAATTTAAGCATTGCGCACCTATATTGTAGAAATCTTGTATGGATTATTTTTATTTAATAGCCTTATCTCGTATTTATTGCATAGATAAAAAAGCTCGCCTCATTTTTAACATTGAATGACATTGATAGAAAGACGCGAAACCTTTAATGAAATTGTTTCTGATTAGCAAAATTCTGCAATTTCCTTATACATTACATCAATGAATTGACGTAATTTCCTTAATTGTGTCTATGCCTCTGTACGCGTGTCATTATTATTATTATTATTATTATTATTATTATTATTATTATTATTATT